GAATGTTCAAATTCAGAAGCGATTATATACATCCATTGGTTCATTTCATGATTTTGTTGTGGACACAGATAGTATAGAGTCCATTATTTCATTCAAGAACTTGAAATCTTCAGATCCTAATGTTGTGGTAAAACCCATTGAGGTCTCAATACTGGGGATTACTGGACACAGACTGCCTATACGAGGATGTTGTAAATTGCTAATAAGAAATGATAGTTCTTCATACGTACCTTGTGAATTTTTAGTTAGTGAAACAGGACTGTCCATACTGGGTTTAAAAAATCTGAAAAGGCTTAAAGTGGAATTGTCTCTACTAGTTTCGACAGAGAATTCTGATGCTTTACCCAAAGATTTGATAGCTGTGTGTGCTAAGTGTAGTGGAGGTATGAAAATTCAGCCCATAAAACTTCAAGTACAGGGTGATCCAGTCTTACTTAAAAGACGAATAATTCCTTATGGTCTTCGAGAAGCAGTACATAAGTCACTGAACGATTTGTGTGCGAAAGGTATAATTGAACCAGTTCAGTCCTCAGCATGGAGTACTCCTATTGTTACGTCATTGAAGTCGGATGGCAAGACCCCTAGAATATGCGGTGATTACAGATTAACACTGAACTCCCGTTTGTTGAAGCAAACATGCACGACGATGGAGGCTGAAGATATTCTAAATCGACTCCATGGTTCTAAAGTGTTCTCGAAAGTCGACCTGAAAGATGCTTATCTTCAAATCCCTTTAGATCAATCTTAATCTATCTTGACAACAATTAACACCCCTTTTGGTCTGTTCAAATACAACTTCCTTCCATTTGGTCTTAGTTGTTCTCCAGCCATATTTCAGGAGGTCATGAATAGGATAGTCAGCGATATTGAAGGTGTTGAAGTTTATCAAGATGATCTCATTGTTTATGGTGCTGATAAAGTAGTTCATGACCAGAAACTTATTGCTTTATTGCGTCGTTTAATTGAGAAGAATACTACAGTGAATCCAAATAAACGTTCATTTAGTGTATCTAGTTTTGAATGCCTTGGATACCTAGTTGGTGGTAATGGTTTTAGACCAGATATGAAACGACTAGCCCCACTGACAAATGCACCGTCTTCAAAAAATATCACAGAATTACGTTCACTAGTGGGTGCTCTTCAGTACTATTCTCGTTTCACTCCTAATTTTTCTTGTCGTGCCAACTGTTTATTTAATATTTTGACATCCGATTTATTCAAATGGGGTGAAGAACAAAAGTCATGCCTACGAAGTCTGCCAAAGTTTCTTCAAAGTGATGCTGTTTTTTGAACTTACTCACCCAGTGTACATTCTTTTCTTATTACTGATGCATCACCTGTGGGTATTTGTGCAGTTTTGGAACAGGAAGGTAGGCCAGTTATATGTGTTTCACGCAAACTTCCTGTTTCTGAACAAGGTTATTCACAAACGCAGCGAGAAGCGTCAGCTGTGTTTTGGGCTTTTAAAAGACTTCATAAATATTTATTTGGAGAGAAGTTTACCATTGTTACTGATCATGAAGCTTTAAAGTTCATTTATCATCCTGACAAATCCTTAGCACGTTCCTCAGCTGCTATGGTTCAACGATGGAGTATTGCTTTGAGTGCTTATGACTACACGATTCAGCACAGGAGTGCAAAACAAATTCAACACGTTGACTACATTTCTCGACAACCATTACAAGATAGATCTGTTAATACTTCAGACTGCTTGTTAGTGCAACCTTTGCCGGTGAGACGTCCATATCTCATTAGAGAAACTCGTAGATACTTTGGATGTATACTCAGTGCTATACGGAAGGGTTGGAATGCTAATCTGAAACGTAGATTTCCTGTCTATTATTCAAAGCGGGACGAGTTATCTACTACTCCTGACGGTATTTTGTGTTTAAATGATTGTGTTGTTATTCCTCCTTCATTACGCAAACCTGTCCTTGATGATCTTCATAGTGGACATCTAGGTGTTGAGAAAATGAAGTCCTTAGCAAGACTCACATGTTGGTGGCCAGAGATATTCCCCGTTCGAATATGAGGTGTTTGGAGTCTGCAGAAGTTACATATTATCGTGGGAATGATCTTCGACCAGCCACGGGGATCGTGTTGAAGAATGTTGGAAAATCTATGGTGCGAATTCTGGATATCAGTGACTTGACTATACATAACAGACATGTTGATCAAATACAATATCAGAATCCAGGTGAGTCTGTTCCAATTTCGGTTGTTAATTCTAATACTAATGAGTGCATTCTAGATAATACAGAGTCTACATCCAATACACCGTCGGACAGATGTAAGATGAACTTAAAAAGAAGACGAACAATTGATTACAGACACTTACACTCCGGTTCCAGCTGTGACGGATGTGATGTTTAAATAGATCAATGACTTCTTGGTAATGATGACTGTTGTAATTTTGAATTCCAAATACAATACATTCGCTCGGACTCATCTAATACTTCTTGATTACATTGAGTTATTCCTCGGATTACTAGTTTATACTACAATTCAAATACTTATGATTATCATACATCTCTACAATTTTGAAATTAGGTCTATTATTAAAGCAGCAATGATAAATGTATTTATATCAAAATAGACCATAATTATGAACATTCGTCCGGCACAGGTGGTTTAAGAGGGAGACGGTAATCCACCACTGAGTACGTGTTTGTCAAGTCTCTTCTTAAAGCTATCCACTGAGGGTGCTATAGTCACTCCGTCTAGCAAAGTGTCCTGAATGGGGGTAACCCTTACTGAGATAAAGTGATAGCTTACCTGGGTGTTTGCTTCTTGGTGTGCAATCCTCAGAGGAATATCTTGGGGAGCGTGGTGATGATGTTATGGTATTAGGATTGTGGTCGGTTGGAGTGGTGTACCTGATGTGTCGTATGTCATTATCAGACGACCTTTTATTCAATGCAACTTAACAATATCAATCCTCATTGTCAAAGTCTGTCCTCATAAGATTTGTGTTTTGTACATATCACCTACTTTGTTGCTCGTCTCCTTACTTGTTCCAAGAGATCTATATCGCTTTTAAAGAGATGTGCAACGACATTGTGGATTTTAAGGTGAGGCTATGTGTACGCTTTGAACAGTGTTAAGAACAACTTTGGGATGATTGATCCGAGGTCGTCTTCGTACAAAGTAGAGTTTTGTTTGCCTTTGATTCATCCTCCATCTAGTTTGAACCGATATCTGAGCCCTCCATGATTACAAGCCCGAGAACACGCTCTAACTGGAATTTTGGGAGTGGATTTTCATAAATATTGTAGGTTATGTGAGTCAAATGAGGTAGAATGTCCATGGAATGGCACTTCGACAGGTAAAGTTTTAATTTTTTGTCTACCGCTTATTCTTCTATTGTTGTAAGGTCCTTTTGAAGTTCAAGTAAATCCCTTTTTCATGAATCTTGAGATCGTTTTATCAACTGCATTGATCATTGCCATCAAGCTAATTTTAACTAACAGATCGTTAATTATCGTCAAAAATAAGAGTTAACATTGGATCGTTCTTCGTGAAAATCGTGATGGCAAGACATTCAATCTCGCCCTTGGTACAAAGCACCCAGTTCTCTACGTACTTTGAGAGCTAGCATAGAAGTGGGTCAGTGAAACCCATCTATGCAAAGTCTTCTGTGGAAAGTACGTGAGCTGCAATGTCATGGTTGGGCACTATCACTAAGTGTTCACTTCTTTTCCCTCTTTTTTCCTTCTAAATAAATACTATTCCTAAGATTACGAAGTTTGTAATTAGACAATAACTTGTGTTACGCTTAAATCAACTCAGAGTCTTTTTATCTTCACTATGCATATACGAATCACATATTGATTATATTTTGCACTTAATTGAAACTTTCATAGCATCTCTCCAAACTATGATTGCACAAACACTCATTCGAACGTCATATATTACCGCAATAATAAGTTACTTACTCATTAATTTGATTTATTTCATTTTTATTACTCATTTGGGGGTATATATATAGTCGTTTATTCTTGTTGTTTGTTCATAAGAACGCTCATTGAACTACTTACGTATTTCGCGTTTCCTTTATTCATATTTCTTCAGTTGCTACCTTTTCTTCTTTAAAATCTATTCGATATTTTTCTCAATAACACGGGACCTGATTTTTATTTTTATTCTATTATTATTAGTTTATTTTCATTTTTCTTCCGTTTCTCAAATACGGCAAATATACTGCTAACTTGTGAATCATTGCATTTGTGAAGAAACTCGAAATGGTTTCTTCACAACATTTATGTACCCATAAGATGTTTGTGAATAATGATAAGGCTTTTGCGAGGTCGACGAATTTTGCATGATTCTTTATCTTATGATCTCAGCATGTCGTCCAGCCTTCCCATGCTACAAGTAAAATGGACTCAGAGGACCTTTCTTTCTTATACCCGTGTTATGCTTTATTCTGTTTTTATCTATGTGTTCATCACTGACTCATCGACCATGCTTTTCATTGCCTTGGACAGTATTAACAACAGTAGGGCTAGTCTGTAAAAAATTAAGTATTTACTTTCTCCCTCATCCAAGATTGTAAATATGGTGGCCTGCTTCTATTCTCGTGATGGTGTGCTGAAACTAGTGAGTGCCTAAAAAGGTCAAACACTGGCGTGCTGACAGCTTAACCTCACATTTTTACAGTTATAAATGTTTTTGTGTACTGATAACGTTCCTGAGAGCAGAGATTCCAGTTAGTTAGACATCTTTCAAACTCTCAGTAGGCCCTGAAGTTGATAGGTTTCTTGCTGCGACAGGCTACTGGTTCAGTTGGTCTATGAGATTGTTAGTAAAGATCTCCGTAAAACCGAGTTTAGAGTGATCCTTACCGTTTGGTTCTTGAAGAGTACAGATCTCATGGACTGTAGGCGTCCTCCTGACTGAGGATCTGTAGAGATATTGGTGGTTAGCTTGCATTTTGACTGCTGGCTTGTTTTGAAAACATTTCTTATATATGTGGGCTCTGGAATTGAATTTGTTCCTCAATGCGACAAAATATTTTGAAAGTTCGTTAGTCCACTTGAATCCTCTGTGGTTGTCACAGAAGCACCTCAGACTTTTCATATGTCCTTGAGTGACATATGTTATCTATTATCTGACACTGCTATATCCAGCTCCATAACTTTGGCTAGTCTTATTATAACCGTTGGGACTTGAGAACGATCCTCACAGATCTCACAAAGTAATATACAAGAATGACGTCCGATTATACTCAGTTTTGGAGGTTTCTTTCAAGAGTTTTCGAATGATAGTAGCCTAAGAATCAAGTGGACGCAAGTGCAAGATCCGAAATTTGAAGAATTTCAGTATATCTGTCCTGTGATTCCAGTCAGTGACTTGCTTCCGAAATCGAATACATCAAAAATACTATAATGACTACAGATTTTCCTGCAACAGCATACAAGTAGGCATGGAATAGGTGCTATTAAAATATGTCTATTAGTACAAACAAAACTATTGTACATAAACGATCGTTCCTATAACAAAGAAAAAATCAAATTACAATAGCATTCATGAAAACCTGATCGTCAAAATACAAAAATATTCCTATGAGCCAGAAAATAAAATTCTACAGAAGGAAGAGAAACAGGTTAATTCAGATTGCTTCAAACATCAAGGATCAATTATAAAATAAGAATCATATAAGAAAAGCAAGGATTTTGCAAATAATTACAGGTTATTAAATATGAACCGTACAAAAAAAGGAAAATGTTCCAGTCTCAGTTATGAGTTACAGAAATCAATCCACTCAGCAACAATGGACAGCCAATAAATTAAAATGGTAATCGCTAAAAGGTAGTGCTTAGTAAGTATTTTGAACACGGCACCCATTTTTTGTTTACTATATTCAACCTCGAACCTACTACGGGACGTTCTGTTGTTGCAAAACAACGAATTCTGAGAGAAATTGTGAGGTAAATGAAAACGTTATTCAAACTCATGATAACACCAAACGCGAATCGCTAGCCGAATAGGTTGAAAAAACAATTTCTTCTGATTGTCCGTGGCATTCCGTAGTAAAAGAGGTTGGCCTCAAGAAAAAAACGAGAAATCAGTATTTCACAAATGAATGAGTGTGTGTAAAAAAAACTCATGAACTTCAGAATTTACTGTTCAGCTATCAGCAATGAAAAATTTAAAAACGAAAATAGAAAAGCAACGTATAAGTGTTTAGCTAATATTTATTAAAGATACACTTCTTAATTATAAAGGACTTGTAAACGTACCAAAATAGCATGAAGTAGGCACGAAGAACTCAATTGCTTCATATTAGCTCATCACAAAAAGATTGCTCATTGGAACTTGTATGCTTGTTAGTTTGGCGGCATAAATGCTTCAAGGTCAGGATTCGGGAAGCAAGTAAACTTGATTAGATTAATTGGCGTTCAGTTATTACCGAGAAATTTAAATGTGCGATGCACTCAAACAAGATGCCTTAACTGATACTTAAGAAGTCATTGGTTGGCGATTTCGCGGAAATCTTTGAATAAAGGGCTTCAGAAGTTACAGATATATACATGAAATACCGCTCTGTCCCCAATTCATCGGTTTTTATTTATCAGGGGTTAAAAAATTTCAGTTTTTCTTAAGTTAATAAAGTAGGATCATTGTAACAGGGGGAACATGTGGGCACAAATCCATGAAGTCACAAACAAGTAGACTGAGATATGTTGGTAGGCGTAGACTACCTGGTTGGGATCCACAAGATGATAACAACCGATGGTTAAAGACTTTGAATGACATGGCTCAAAATCGTTTACAATGGCAAAGGTGCATACACTGTTTGTGTTCTCCCAAGTTCTAATCTTCTGAATTCTTCATGTTCCTATCCTTTTACTCTTTCTTCATATTTATTTCGCTGGATTATACGTCGAGACCATAATTTTTAGACGACCTTTGAACAAATCTTTAGTGACCTTGAGAAATATTAGCCAATCCGAAGACAGCATGTAGTAAAAATATATCTAAATTTTGTAATACTCCCTTTCAAAATACTGCGTCCCCAAACTGCTTCTCAAACTCACCCACTCGTCTTTCCAGTCGAAATTCCCCATAAACTTACCTAAATGCCTGTTATAGTTTATTACCGTATACCTGTTTATGTACTTATATTGTACTCTGTTGATGATGTGCGCGGTGATAACTAAAACCTTTTCACTACAGTCTGTTATTCGCCGTTTTCACACTCATCAGTTCCTGAATTATTGTTTCAAAACTGTTTACGAGTTACTTAAAGGAAAACTTTCACCGTTTTCCTCTTCGTTAACTAATAAACCTACCTTCGGGCATTTACAGTGTGAGACAAGCTATAATATAAGTGCAAGCCAATTTATAAAATTGTGGGCTTGCTTCAAAAGTCTTATCAAATGTTAGAAATACGAAATTACTGCGTAAGATAAAATGATGATTCAGTCAGTTATACTCTACGTGGTTTGGGCACCCGGGCATTATCACAGCCCTCACACAAATCAAATGAGATTTGTGTTGCGCATATGTATCTGATGCCTCTTTGTACCAATATTTATGTGTTAAAATAAATAAATAATACTCTACGTGGAAGCTGAACGCTTACACAGGTTCAAGTTGCTACACTTCACTAGCTCAAAAAGTTGAAACTGTCAAAATAAACCCTAAAATAGTACAGTTAGTAACAGCGTTAGTGGTGGTAGAAAAAATTAGGCATCGAAGGTACGATTTTAGAAAAAAATATAGAGTAGTGGAATAGAAAGTCTTGTTTTGCTGGTTTAGAAAATACAGATCTAAGGGAAGACAGATTGGATACTACTACGCGATTGTGAACAATTCTGAGCCATATCACCTATAGTCTTCATCCATGGATTACGATAATAGCGCGTATTCCAACTAGGTAGTCTAAACCTGCTTGTATGGCTCAGTCCAACAGTCAGTGTCTTTATGAACTGGACATTTTAAGTCCCATTCAAGTATTTTTCACTGGTTTGAACTATCTACTTGAGTGTTAAAGTCTCCTGTCACAGTTACATCTAAGCGTTTGGTATTTTGTAGGAGATCGAAAAAATTTCTGTTGAACATTCTCTATTTCATCCAAACTTCAATGAAAGCATAAGAAAAGACGGTAAAGAACCAAAGGCGTGTTTCCTCATCTTTCCTTGTTCTTATTTCCTCATATAGTCTCAGTCAGTTACAACGTAGAGCTTCGTACGTACGTACATCAGTTCGAGTTGCCATACCACATTAGCACAGAGATGCAGTTGTCGATTCAAATCCCATAGTGGTAGAAGTAGTAGGAGTATAATCAGAAATCCAAAAGATTAGGGTTTGAAGAAATTATTGAAGGAGTATAGTACAGTGAAATAAATTTGGAAAGATAAAAAGATAAAGACATGAGGAATTCAGAAGATTAGAATTTGGTAGAACACAAAGAGTGGATGCACCTTCTCCATTGCAAACGATTTTGAGCCATGTCATTCAAGGTCTCTAACCATCGGTTGCTGTCATCTCGCGAATCCCAAACAGGTAGTCTACACCTACCAACATGGCCCAGTCCACTTGTCAGTGACTTCATTGATTTGTGCCACGTTTTGGTCTGGCCACCCTTAGCTTTCTTCCAACCTACTCCTACACCATGAAACATTGCACGTCGGGGCAGTCCGTGGTCGGGCATACGTAACACATGTCCCAGCCATCTCAACTGATGAAGTTTCACTACTTCATCAATCGATTTGACATCCCTACCTAGTACTCGTTTCCTAACAACTGCATTACTTACCCGGTGGTCCCAGGATATACGACCAATGCGTCGAAGACACATATGATCGAATCCTAGTAGCCTACGAATATCCTCTACTCTTATCGGCCATGTTTCACTGCCATAAAGTAGGACGGAGCGAACTGCTGCACAGTAAACCCGTCCTTTGGTTGCTAGACGGATATCTCGCCTACGCCATAAATGACGCAAGTTGGCGAAAGCTAGACGAGCCTTTTGTATCCGTGCTGAGATTTCGTCACACACCAGACCACAAGGGCTGATGAGACTCCCAAGATAAGTGAAGCTGTCAACACGCTCAACTACTTCACTCCCTATCATTAGTTCAGGTGTCGATGCAACCCATTCCTGAAGTAACATTTTGCACTTCGAGGGAGAGAATCGCATTCCGAACATGCCTGCATAGTTGCTTATAGTGGTCAGAAGACTCTGCATTTTGTCAGCGTCTTCACCGAGTAAAACTATGTCGTCGGCGTATTCTAAGTCAACAAGTGAGCCTCCTGGTAAAAATTCAACTCCTGGAGGTTTAGCTGATGAAAGTGCTCTCTCTAAAAGTATGTCAATGACAAAGTTAAACAAGAATGGGGAGAGTGGACAGCCCTGACGAACGCCACTTGTGGTAATCAGTTCTGATGACAGTTCGCCATAGGCTCTAACTCGACCAGTTGTGCTCGAGTAGAGAGCCTTTATGAGGTTAATGTACTTCTTTGGTACTCCTTTCAGTGACAAACATTGCCATAGAACCTCACGATCAACAGAGTCCAATGCCGCCTTAAGGTCAAGAAATACTACTATTGTGGGACGTCTGAATTTGTGTCTATGTTCTAGAACCTGACGTAGGGTGAATATCTGGTCTATGCAACCACGTCCAGGTCGAAAACCAGACTGGTTTTCTCTAGTCTGCTCGTCACGAGCTTTGGTTAGGCGACCTAGTATTATTGAAGCTAATATTTTAGACACTATATTAGTCAAACTGATCCCTCTGTGATTGTCACAGAAGGACTTTTGTCCTTTCTTATAGACTGGCACAATCAGTGATTGGGACCAGTCAGATGGAATTACGTCCAGTTCCCAGATTCTACCTAAGACCTCAGTCAATCTCGCCGCTAGTACTGGACCACCATCCTTAAAAATCTCAGGGGTCAACCTGTCAGGGCCTGCTGCTCTCCCTCGCTTCAGATTTCCTATAGCTTTTTCAACCTCACAGAGGGTTGGAGGACTTACATCGATTTTCCATTCAGGACGACTGGGGATCGTGGGTAATTGAAGTGTGGCTGAAGGGCAGTTGAACTGATCCCTAAAGTGTTCTGCCCATCGATCCAACCTCCTGGATTGAGAATGAATAATATTCCTCTATCAGTGCGATAGATGCTGCCGAGATCCATTGTTTCTCCCTAACGTTATGGTTTGCCTTATTAGCGGATATCACTGCTGTTTCCACAGCTTTTCGGATGTCATTCCACGCTGCCTCGGGGTGGACACAACTTACGTGGCTGCCTAACTGTTTTTCTAGTTGTTCCTGAAATATATTCTTAGCTTGCCTATCATTAAGTAGAACCCTTAGAGGCTTCCCTGCAGTGTCTTTCCTACGACCAGTAAGACGCAGACAGATACGTGCTCGCACTAGAGCATGACTCGAATCTAAGCATGTGCCCCAGAATGAGCGACAGTCTTCTATCGAGCCCCTCCATCGGTGGCTGATTGCGATGTGATCTAATTGGGTCCAACATTGGGACGAATTCGGGGGTCGCCATGTCAAAAGATGTTTTTCCTTATGCCTAAAGTTAGTATTTGCAAGAAATAGGCAGTTATCTGAGCATAGCTGCAACAGACGGTCGCCATTATCTGTTCTTTTCGCCATGACACCATAAGATCCACCCAGGTGTCTTTCCCTTTTACTTAGTTTACCTACTTGAGCATTAAAGTCACCTGCTACTATTACTACATCAGAACGCCTAGCTTCTCGGAAAAGGTCAGAAAGTTTCCTGTAGAACTCATCTTTTATATCGTCTGAGCTGCAGTCAGTGGGAGAGTAGGCAGAGACGACGAAGAGGCAACGACGAGTTTCCCTATCTTTCCGAGTCCTTACTGATCCGTTTAGTCGGACAGCGCATAGACGACTGTCTACTGGGATCCAGTCCAAAAGAGCTAGTTCTGCCCTAGGACTTAATGCTATACCTACTCCAGCGAGGCCACGGGAAGCAGCGTCAGGGCTTCCAGATACACGGAGCGTGTATCGAGATGGTTCTTTATTTTGATTAGGTGAGGTCAAATGAATGACACTACTCGGATCTTGTATGTGCGTTTCGGAGACGCAGCACACATCGATGGTGTAAGATTCTAGAGTCCTAGCTAAGGAAGCCTGTTGTCCTATTTGGCACAATGTTCGGACATTAAAAGTTCCTATGTGTAGTTTAGAGCGTGGTTTCAGGAGACCAGGAATAACGTTCTGTGTACTCGAATCGTTTGCCCTAGCGGTGCGACGTGATAAAAGAACTTTGGAAGGGTTAGTCGAGGAGATAACAGAGTTATTAGATGTAGGAAGGATTTGAAAGCGACCAACTTGGTCTTGTGTGCTGTTACGGGTATGAGGGTTAATATCACTTCCCGGCTGCCCACACCGTGGAAGGGTATTTCTTGAGGGACCTGAAAAAGAAGTTGGATTAGTGTTGGTCTTAACGACCTGGGAGCGTGACCGCAGTGCCCAAGGGACATCTGCTTGAGGCCGGTCACGCACGGCCTTTTTGTGGGGGATTTTTGACGTGTTAGCTCCGTTCTTCAAAAGTCCTTACCGCCGGAGACGGAAATCCGTGGGATAAGGCGAGGTGTGCATTTTTAGGGTCGACCTTTTCTAACCCCACCCGTCCTTGTGGGAAGGCAGCATCGCTGTCATGCTGGTTGTCTGAAGGAAACACCTTACTGCTTTCACACCTCTGTACAGTCAGCAGTACGACTTCGCCTTCGGACCTTGGGATTGCTGCTTTTAGTCTCACCGCTCTTCAACCGACCTGTCTGGCATGGTAGGACCTTGAGGAACGATTGTTCCAGCCAGCATAGCTCGATTGGATCATCACGATAGGCAAGCCCGACCACCACGTCAAGGTAGCAGCAACGGTCGGGCAAGGTAGCAGCAACGGTCGGGACATATCTATGGAGATTCAGTTTAGGCCTTATTCTGCTTTATAACTTAGTGCTGGACCTACATCAGGGAACCCAAGAAGAGTCACAGTCAAGTCCTCAGATACACAGAGGGCAAGCCGTACTGGTTCTCCTTATTTACTAGTTAGGTTAAGTGAACGACCACTTGAATTCTGTATGCGTGTTTTGGAGACAGTATATATCAATAACACTGAAATCTAGAATCCTAGCTAAGAAAGATTGTTAGTCTGTTTGAACTAAGGTCTAAACAGTGAAAGCCGCAACATTTTGTTTAGAGCGCGGTCATAAGAGACTCAAACAGCTAGCGTTGGTGACGTATGAGGATAAAGTCACAGAAGAATTGACAGTAGTAATAGAAGGAATAGTAAGAAGTGACGAATAGCTTTGATCGAAAAGATCTCTAACGGCGTTTGCCACTTCCTGGTTGCCGTCACCATGGAAGGATGTTTCTACTTGAGAGGGCTGATAAGGAAACTGGATTAGTTGTAGTACTGACCTGGGTGCGTGAACTAAGTGGACAACTGTTTGAGGCCGTTCACGCACTGTTTTTCCGTGAAGTTTGTAATGTGTTAACTCCATGTTTCGAAAGACCTTACCACCAGAGACGGAATTCCGTGGAGTAGGGTAGGGTGCGACATTTTTAGAGCTCGTCTTTTCCAACTCATTCTTCCGTTTGTGACAAAGCGGCATCTCTGCAGATGCTGGCTGTCTAAGGGAAGGACTTTAGTGCTGTGATATAGTTGTACAATCAGCAGTACAACTTTGCCCTCGAGCGTCAAGTTGCCGCTTTTAGTCTTGCTGTTTCCCAACCGACCTACCCGGCATTGTAGAGCCTGAAGGAACGAATTCCAGTCAATATAACTCGATCGGCGTTTTGTGATAGACAAAACATCACATCTGGTGATGACAATATTATTGATGGCTGTACCAAATGTGTCCCATCATTCTACCAAGTACTCAATTATCAGCCGTCAAATAATGGATTCAGTTTTTCCACATATATTTAAGTCCCCATTATCTTGAAGTAACCTCAATCCTTTTGGAATAATATAGTGTCAATGTTTATAATACCCAATCAGTATTTGATAGCTTTCGTTTTTATCGTTTAGACCAGTATGGAGTGTCTGAGTTCAGAATCAAGTGCAGTTTGTGACAATCAAGCTACCAAACACATCAGAGATCCCGAATCTAAAAACGATGCATCTAAGCAAAAGAAAACATGCAAAAAGTCACATCACCATTTCAGTCACAAACAAAGCAATAACGATTGCTGCAAAAGTTCTTGTAAACCCGACGTTCTACGAAATCTTTCAACCGTAATTCAAAACTGGAAGTTGGGTGATAAAGCTCCATGCCACAAAACAACAAATATTGTGAGCACTTTTAAAAACATTGAGAAACGAATCATTCATGGAAGTGTTGAAAAAGTTCCATCTGGTTGTGAGGCTCCTGGCGGTGGACTAGCCTACCCGAAAGAAACCAAGTTTATTTTTCATTATCAAATTCGTAAACTGGATGAAGACTGTACTGTAATCGATGATACCCGTAAGTATGGAAAAACGATGGAGGTGTATTCGGGAAAAGAATTCCAGCTGGAGGTAAGAAGAACATTATTTATTTATTGCTAATGGTAAATACTAGTCTAGGTTTTTTGAATCACTTAATCAAGGATGTCCATTTGTATTCGTCATATGAAAACGAAACATTACAAGTATTTTCCAACTTAAATGGGATATGTTTTTGTGTTAAGTCCAAAGTAGAATTATTTCTAGCTGTATACAACTGACTGTTAGACATATCTTATAGGCATCTTTTAGTCCTTCATAATAAGCTAACAATGACTACCAGTTTTACTGCGTTTTTCAGAATCTGTTACAGTGAGTCATTAATAATCTGATTTTATAAGCAAAAATAAAACTTAGTCCTCCATTATCCTGTTAACCATTTATGAACCCAATTGCTTCTTTTATTATTTACATTGTCCACTCATATTTCCACGTTTTATCGCTTCTTAAGGTTGATAAAATCATTAATTTATAATTAACTTTTTCTTTCGTCATATATCCTCACCAATTCGGTATTCTTTTTAAATGTGCCTCCCCTTTTTGATTTCAATTCGTAATCATTGTTTTCTGTACTTGTTTCGCTCACTTACATGTTTTCTGTAGGTTACGGTTTCTTTTTTAATGTATTCAAAGCATAATCATATAGTTATTGCTTAAGAGAAAATTCGTTATAATACTAACCTGTTTGGAGCAGAAAAGAGGCTACAATACAATCCAAATTTATTCTTGCTTTATTTACTATCATTATCATGGCAACTAAAAAACGTTTATTTTCCTGGTCTTCAACGTAATAAAGATAATTTCCTATTTCAAAGTTGTTGATCCTTGGCTCATATCTCACTTTACCTACTTAGGTTTGATAAGTCTTGTTAAACTACTCCTTAACTTAAAGCTCTGTAAGATCTGTAACATCCTGAGATTTTTGCGTCATGTAATATCCATAAATGAGTGCGAAAATGAGCTCAAGGGTATCATTCAATTCTCAGAATGTTCATACTACCCTTAAAACTCCATAGTGTTATTGAGCGGGGTTCCATAATTTGATGAGTGACAACCGTTATGAATCCGCAAGATGTTGGGGAGAATCCGATTCGATAGATAATGCTTAGTTTTAGGATTTACCCGACTGGTAACTTCTCACGAGACTGATTTGTTGACGCAAACCCTAAATAAACTTTCATTCATGGCTAGCACAACTACCGACAAATACGTTCCATTTGCAGTAAAATAGCGTCCTCGTATAGAGATTACTAGACACCAAATTGAACATTATTAAATATCACTTAACAAGTAAGCCATCGATAGATAAGATTTTACTAGATGACTCACTTTTCAACAGAACTACGGCACCTGGCTACCAACCTTAGTTTTTTCTCGCCATATTACGGATTGGTGATTTGTCAGATAGCGAATTTTTAAAGGAGGTGGATTGATAACTTAGTTCCTTATCATTTCTCTAATAGATCTATTGCGAATTTGTTATGAAGTGACTCTAAATATGTTTCTCTAAGCGTAACTCACTTCAGCTCTTAAGATTATTCAAGAGGTGCACCTCTCTCTATTTCAATGTCTTTTTTCAGTTTTGGGAACAATGTTTAGGAACTATGTTGCCTGGGGAAGTTTCATCATTTGTTGTACCACATGAAAGGTTGGCTTCATTTCCCGCTGTAAATAAAAAACTCCGTGATTACATGTTAAATAAAAAAGATCATTCTGTAAAACACTGTTGCGGATTAATGAGCTTACAAGAGCAAGGCGGTTTAGGCTATCCAGATTTGGACGAGTTGATGATGAAACCTGAAGCACTTGAATTTATTTTTGATTTAGTTAAGTAAGTTTATCCATTTGATTTTGTTGTTTCTTGGTGTTTGGAAAAGAAAATCATCTTGATATAATTAATGTAAATTATAAAGATAGATTTCATACAATATGAACAGTTTAATTATATGTATCGTGAATACGCTCGTTTCACGTACGAGTCATGTACATAGTGCTTGCTTTAGTGGCTTTATAAAAACCTGTCAATACTGGGTTAGTATGAGCTGGGTTCTAACTCATGACTTTATGACTGAAAGTTCGGTGCTCAAACCACAGAGCTATGGTTTATGATGATCAGAAGAATCTAGTTGTTGTTTTTGATACAATAGTAACCTGTTTTTTTATTTTCATCAGAATGTTTAAAATTTCATTCAAAAATAAAGTGAAGCCTACTAGTACATATTTCTACTCAGGATTCACGTAAAATAAAGCAATATTCAATGCTTAGGTTATCGTAAAAGAATTCGACTTTATGGTTATTTTGATGTACCATTCTGAAATCAATAACCAGAAACATAAAAACAAGACCTTATATATATATATATATATATATATATATACTATCAATCAACTTAATTCTCATACTCTCTTGAACTGAGTTTGTAGGTAGTATTGAAATCAAAGTGGTTAGTATGTTTTATAGGTAGGAGAATCGAAAAAATTTGCTAATAAATCAATAAGGGCGTCTTACTGTTCGTGGATTTTCAATGCTAATTATTTTTTGTGTTTGTTTTAGTCCACGCCCATGCACTGTACGTGGCTGTAATGTTAAAGTAATTTTAGGTTTACGTCTTTAGAACAAAAAGGTTCAAGTCTCATAAAATAATCTGTGATATGATACTTAGGAAAATAACTCACATTTGATTAATATGATGTGAGTACTAGCAATAGACATAAAATCCCGTCCCCAGATTTCGCCCTAACTGATACTGATCTGTGACTACAAAAAAACAAATGCTGCCTTACTGGTCCGTACCCACGTCACAGTACTACAGTCACAGATGTTATCTCTGAGTTATTCAAGTCGAAACTACTATCCTATTACCTACTCATTGATGCTGGTCGAATTCTACAGAACCATAGAATTAAATAACTTTAATTGTTTGACGTAGTAAATATGATTTCATGACTCAAATGGTTAACAGTTCCAATTAATATTGCGTTCAATCTGTTTTATATCACAAAATGAATTCAACCAAGAACTGGAGTTCAGCACAGTATAATATTGTTACATTCATTGTCTTCTGACATCTATAAACAATACTAATATCCTTCAGAGTTCATTAAAGAATAGTTTCCATCAATAATGTGATGTTGACGTGCGTCCCAGTCATTTCGGTCGATGGGAGTTAATAAACTTAACAATTGATATATCATGCAATTTAGTTTTTGTATTTCATCAACACTGCTCACTAAACGGTTTAATCATCAAAACTGAATACTTGCAAGCTATTGAATTTTATACTTTTACGTGTCATGGTTCCTATATTCACTATAATACTGAGAGAACTGCTGTGTATTACATTCATCTTTTTGATTAACCTAAGGGCCTACACAACTGTAATTTAATGAATAAGACATTTTTATATACAATTCTAGAGTCGAAATCCCAGGCACTGGTATTCGTAAAGAAACATGGATAATGACGCCTGAAGAGAAATCGGCAGTGGTACCAATTTTACGTGAAGAAGGTAATCAATTGTATAATCGTGGGGAATATAATGAAGCTGCTGCATGTTATAGTGAAGCGTTAGGCATTTTAGAACAGTTAATTTTACGAGAAAAACCAGGAGAACCGGAGTGGATTGTATTGGACAAGTTACAAATACCTTTATTCGTTAATCTTGCACAATGTCAGTTTAAAGAAAAAGTAAATAGCTTATTAATATGACTATTTTAAGTGTTTCAATTTTCAGTACTCTTTTTTAATTATAACAATTTTACCCTAACTTACTGAAACTTTTCTCATTGATTATGAAAATAATATCAAGTGAAAACACCTTCAATATAAACGATGAATAAAAAAACAGCAATCACCCCAGATTAATATGGATCTCATTTTATTCTATGAGTTCTTACTAGCTATTTTACAGCTTAATCCTTGATTTAATAATAATAATAATCAACTAATGATGGCCATAAAACCCTGTTTCTAGAAATCATGTTTTTGACTAGACTTCGAATGGATCAGATTATGGTTTTCCTTTAAATTAAAATGTCGGGTTTCTGTTCTCAAGGTTAAGAGCTACGGTTAAAAGGTTATGATTCACTGATAAATTATTCCTGATAAGTTAATTAATCGTGTTAGAATTTTCGATGCTGTATAATTTTCTCACCTTTTGCGATAGATAACTCTCACAAAAAACACATTCTAATTTAAATAGCATGATTTCCCCAAAAATGCTACCTACCCATCCTATCTTGACATTCGTCCCCCTTGTTATATCTTCGCTTCTTTACAACGGTTTCATTCATTTTGACTATTTTGCCCACACCTCTAAGTGATAAATTTAAATTGAGCTTATATTCTGGCGATACCGACCTGTGTCAGATAAAGTATCTGCTTGCAAAACCTGTGTTTCCAATATCTAATATAAAACAATTAGCATTATTTTCCTCGATGTTAACTTCGACTAAAATGAAGAAAATCTCCGTCCTACTGATTGATTCGTTTCACCAGTGTTCATTGCATCGAAAAAAATTAGCTGTCTTGATAATCAGCTCGTATAGATCAAATTATTTGAAAAATACTTATTCACTTTTATCTAGTCTTTTTACTAGATATCTGAATGAGAACCTTCACAATTCAAACAAACGAATAACTAATGCTTGAAAATGTGTTGTCGATCCCTGTTGATATTTTCGTTATGCTATATTTCCTCTCTATAATGCCCCCTAGGACTACTATGCTGCAATAAAAAGTACTACTGAAGCGTTGTCAAGAGATCCTACAAATGTAAAAGCACTTTATCGCAGGTCTAAGGCGTATACAGAAACTTGGGACTTTGATCTAGCTGCTGAGGATCTACGTAAGCTAGCCGCTTGTCGTCCGGATATGAAGAACACAGTCAAAAATGAACTAAACATTATCGAAACTAAACGTTTTGACGAAGAAGTCAAAGGAAGACAAAAACTAGCTGGGAAACTCTTCGCTTGTACAAAATCAGTCCCAGAATCAAATATAAATTAGAGGTGTATCAGAATAAATTCAGAAATATTCATGTCAGTATTATGTGTACTTTGAGTAAGTAATATTTTGGTCTACTTGTATGACTGATTTATACCCGGATAGTTGTCATTTTAGCTTAAGTGAAGTCTTCAGAATTAATCGTGCTTATCACCCAAGGTATTCTATTTTTTCTAGTTTACTTTCGTGGTTGAGTTTACATAGCTGTAACTGAATTCGTAATCCGTAGTTGAACAATATGAGATATGCAGTTGAGGATTGGAGTTCAATGAAACCTTATGTGCAGAAGAACTCAAACGGATGGGCTGTAATATGTGAGCCTGACAAGATCTCACTCCTAACCAAGTATTAAGTGTGTTTCCGGAGTCTATCCTAGACTTTTATCTAAATTTAAACCTAGGCGAATTCGCGAGAATCAGGAAGCGAATTTAAGTTATTTTGAAGAAACTAATGAATGAAAAAATTCATAGACCACAAAACACCAGTTTTCTCAAACCTTTGCACTGATTATCCTAAAATCTTCAATGCTAGTTTCAAGCGCATCATCAGTGAATGCCAAAGTCATAAATAATGCGCTCAATAGTGCTTGACTCCACTACATATATTTCTATACAAAAATCTGATTCGTAGTTTCTTTGATTATCGAATGAACCACACGTTTCTATGCAGTTTTACTTATATGAGATTTAATGTAATGTTTGTGGTGCGAAAAAGATGAAACTGCCACTTTCTCTGGTACAAAACGGATAAATGTTCGTACTTCTTAGTTTTCTTTTTCTTTCAAACAGGTCTATAGCAATAAGAAAACTTATGCTTCGAAACTTACGTTACTTGTCTAATAGTTCTATATTTTTTCTTCCCATACAATAGATATCTGAAAATGGATTCAAGGTTTGTGCATTTATGATAGAACGGTCGGATTTTTTTCTGCGTCTCCTTAATTATCTTGACTGTGATATAATTACTTGCACCAGTAGCTTTTTTAATTTAATTTCTTATTGTATGTACTGTAAAAACCCATTATTTTGTAAATACTATGTTGAGAACGAAATGGATTATACTTGTTCATTTTTAGTAATAATAAAACTAGTTATAAGTCCTTGGTTGTATTACTAACCTATTTGGATCAATCTAAACCAAACTGCTTATTACTAATAAACGATTTTCATAAAGTACAAATGAAGAAATTCAAATCCACAAAAATCTCTTTAATAATACTAATGAGAAAATAATCAGTCATATTGTTGAAACAAAAATAAATGAATTTGAATGGCGATAAATTTGAAAGTAAACTATATAGATCAAATCTCATTCAACTTTTCTACGCTTTCGACGAAAATCGAAATCAAGACGATCATCACCATCATTATTTGTCTGTTGTGATCCTGGCTTAGGACCAACTCTACGCTTATTTCCTCTGCCTCTGGATGAACCACTAGAAGTTAGATCAGTCCGTATGCCTCGTCCGCGCCTACTTCGATTAGTTTTTGGTAATGCATCATTCGGTGGACTGACTGGATTTCTTCCTATATAATTTTGCTTGGCAAATTTACCTTCATTCAGTGAAGAACTTGTGTCGTCGTCGGTGGAAACATCTTCAACCATGTCCGCTAGTGTTGTCGCCTCGTCCTTGTCAGAATCAAATCCAAAATCATCTTTTGTTTGTAGTATAACTTGACAGCTTGGCACTGACTTTTTATTCAATGATTGTTTTGTCTGTAACGTTGCTTTACCACTGACTTTGTTTACTCGGACCTTTTCTGGGGTTAAATTATTGTGTATTGGTACCTGGAATTAGAAGTGTAGGTAGGATACTAGTTTTACGTATTAGGAAAAGCAAATTAATTTAACATTAGCGCAGTAATTGTACTTAGTAATAGCATAATATTAGTGTTTATTTAACCCATAGGCAATTTCAGATTGATTCGGTTCGTATTTTACTTAATTTCGTTCATTTATGGTGTTTTACAAAGCAACATGAATCGTTTTGCCTAGGTTACCTCACTATCTGATTATTAATTAATTATATTCCCATCATAACCTAAAAAATATGACATTCAGCGAAAGTATCTCTTTTCAGTGAGCTTGTAAAATAGTGAATAAGTATTACGGCGTAATAAGGGGATTATTAAGTTAGTATACATGATAAGACTACAATTTTGTGTTAATTTCTTTTATCTTCACCAAAATGCTATTTTTATTTAGCTGATGCTTTTGACATTTTAAAAACAAGCGTATTAGGTTCTACTGGTAGCCAATAACAAAATACTGACACACGTATTAATTGTGCAAATAAAATAATCTACTCAAACTGACATAAGTCAAGATTTTTTCCAAACCTACACTTTTCTATTTTAATGAGGACCTGGTTGAAAGACATAAACAAACAGATCCAAAAATCTGTTAAATGGTCTCGCACGGAAGAGACCTCACATTCCTGAAAAGCTTCACATTATGAAAAAACAGATTTGTATTGTCTCTCATCAAATGTTAAGTTTGTTTGCATTCTCCTCACATTTTTTGTGCATCGTTTTATACTTACTCGAAAAAACCAGGCTGATTTCGACCCCGGATGCGGATCTATAGACCAAATATTGACACTTCGGCAGGTTCTGGAACACAGACACGCTTTTCGACGATCGATAAGTTTTAATCCTTGACATTAACACGGCTCAACTCAGTTGACCGCGAGGTTCTGTAGCAGTTTGTCATTGAAATGCGTACCGAAGAGGTGGTTAACCTCGTGCGAGACCTTTTCTCAAATACTACTCAAGAAGTCAGGGCTTATAACGAACTGTCATCAAAATTGGTTACCTCAAATGATGTTAGTTAGGGTTGTCCGCTTTCCCAGTCTTACTTTGCTCTCTCATAGACATGCTTTTAGAGATAGCATCCTCTTCGTCTGACTTTTCAGTGGATGTTCTGTCAGGAGATTCACTTGTTGACATACAATATGCAAATAATGTTTTCTGTTTAGTAAAGACGCTGACAGAATGTAGTCTTCTGATCCAAGCATATGTGGGATGCGGATCTCTACCTTCAAAAGCTAAATGTTGATACATGATTGGTTTGTGTTGGCGACCCAATCAATGATAGGGGGTGAAGTATTTGAATGTCTACAGAACGTTCGTGGGCAACAAAAGCAAAGGAAATGGAAAAGAAAGCAGCTGTAGGCAACACCAGACAACTCTTCAGACAGAAAGCTACCTGAACATCTTCAAAAAGCTAAACGCTCAGACATTGTACTCGTAGCAGGTGATTTTAATGCCCAAGTAGGTAGCTTAAACCAAACAGAAAGACATTTAGGTGGGTATTTTAGCGTCCCGATTCAGCGAAAAAAGAAACTGGAATTGAGAAGTCAATTGTAAGCAAGACAATCTCGGAAAAAGATGAGACTCTTATCCGCTCTCAGTCCAGACATTTGGAACGATGGGCGGAACAGTTTAGCTAGCCTTCAGCTACTCTATAGTTACCCACCATTCCCAAACAGTCTGAATGGAACATTGAAGTAAGTCCCTCGACTCTAGTTGAAGTTCAAAAAGCTATAGGTAATCTGAAACGAGGAAGAGCAACTAGTCCAGATGGATTGGCTCCGGAGGTCTTAAAATATAGTGGTCCAGTTTTAGCGACTAGGTTGACTAATATTTTAGCTAAAATCTGGGAGTTGAACGTAATCCCATCTGACTGGTCACAATCACTGATTATCCCAATATATAAGAAGGGGTCAAAATCATCCTGCAATAACCATAGAGAGATTAGTTTGACCAATATGGCATCTAAAATACTAGCCTCAATAATTATCGGGCGCCTAACAAAGACTCGTGAACTGCAAACACGAGGAAATCAGGCTGACTTCAGATTTGGTCGTGACTGCATCGACCACATATTCACTATTCGTCAGGTTTTAGAGCACAGACATGCTTATCGGCGTCCGACAATGATAGTTTTTCTTGACTTGAAAGCAGCATTTGACTCTGTAGACCGAGAGGTTCTGTGATTGAAAGGTGTACCTGAGAAGTACATAAACCTTTTGAAGGCTCTTTACTCGAACACTACCAGTCATGCGAGAGCGCATGGCGAACTGTCATCTGGTGTCCGGCAAAGCTGTCCACTATCTCGTCTCTCTACACCCACATCGAACTCACGTATACTAGCCTCAAGGTTAAGCGAGTCAGCCTATCGCGTCAAGATCTTAATCTACATTAGACAAGTTATACTCGGCACGAAAGTGGGTAGACAGATTAAAGACGTTGGTTAGGCTTGCCTATCGTGATGAAGCAATCGAGCTATATTGGCTGAAACGATTTTTCCTCAAGGTCCTACCATGCCAGACAGGTTGGTTGAAGAGCGGTAAGCCCAAAAGTAGCAAACCCAAGCTCCGAAGGCGAAGTCGTACTGCTAATGGTACAGAGATGTGACGGCAGTAAGGTGTTTCCTCCAGACGAACAGCATAACATGCCTTCCCACAACGACGGGTGAGGTTAGAAAAGGTCGACCCTAAAAATGCACACCTCGCCTTATCCCACGGATTTCCGTCTCCGGCGGTAAGGTCCTTTGATGAACGGAGCTAACACGTCAAAAATCCCCCACAAAAAGGCCGTGCGTGACCGGCCTCAAGCAGATGTCCCTTGGGCACTGCGGTCACGCTCCCAGGTCGTTAAGACCAACACTAATCCAACTTCTTTTTCAGGTCCCTCAAGAAATACCCTTCCACGGTGTGGGCAGCCGGGAAGTGATATTAACCCTCATACCCGTAACAGCACACAAGACCAAGTTGGTCGCTTTCAAATCCTTCCTACATCTAATAACTCTGTTATCTCCTCGACTAACCCTTCCAAAGTTCTTTTATCACGTCGCACCGCTAGGGCAAACGATTCGAGTACACAGAACGTTATTCCTGGTCTCCTGAAACCACGCTCTAAACTACACATAGGAACTTTTAATGTCCGAACATTGTGCCAAATAGGACAACAGGCTTCCTTAGCTAGGACTCTAGAATCTTACACCATCGATGTGTGCTGCGTCTCCGAAACGCACATACAAGATCCGAGTAGTGTCATTCATTTGACCTCACCTAATCAAAATAAAGAACCATCTCGATACACGCTCCGTGTATCTGGAAGCCCTGACGCTGCTTCCCGTGGCCTCGCTGGAGTAGGTATAGCATTAAGTCCTAGGGCAGAACTAGCTCTTTTGGACTGGATCCCAGTAGACAGTCGTCTATGCGCTGTCCGACTAAACGGATCAGTAAGGACTCGGAAAGATAGGGAAACTCGTCGTTGCCTCTTCGTCGTCTCTGCCTACTCTCCCACTGACTGCAGCTCAGACGATATAAAAGATGAGTTCTACAGGAAACTTTCTGACCTTTTCCGAGAAGCTAGGCGTTCTGATGTAGTAATAGTAGCAGGTGACTTTAATGCTCAAGTAGGTAAACTAAGTAAAAGGGAAAGACACCTGGGTGGATCTTATGGTGTCATGGCGAAAAGAACAGATAATGGCGACCGTCTGTTGTAGCTATGCTCAGATAACTGCCTATTTCTTGCAAATACTAACTTTAAGCATAAGGAAAAACATCTTTTGACATGGCGACCCCCGAATTCGTCCCAATGTTGGACCCAATTAGATCACATCGCAATCAGCCACCGATGGAGTGGCTCGATAGAAGAATGTCGCCCATTCTGGAGCACATGTGTTAGATTCAGATCACGCTCTAGTGCGAGCACGTGTCTGTCTGCGTCTTACTGGACGTAGGAAAGACACTGCAGGGAAGCCCCTAAGGGTTCTACCTAATGATAAGCAAGCTAAGAATATATTTCAGGAACAACTGGAAAAACAGTTAGGCATTTAGTTGATAGATGCTCAAAAACTCATACCACCTGGCTCTGAACATAACGAAGAGCGAAGGCTAATATAAAGCCTACGCAATGATCGCGAGCGGTGATGGATAGCGAAAGCAAGAGAGTTGGAAAAGACAGTGGTAATAGGTAACAGTAGGCAGCTAATAGGACTCGTAAAAGAAACCGGTATTAGGAACCCAACTATTAGCGAAACTATCTCGGAAATAGATGGACATATTATTCATTCTCAATCCAGGAGATTGGATCGATGGGCAGAACACTTTAGGGATCAGTTCAACTGCCCTTCAGCCACACTTCAGTTACCCACGATCCCCAGTTGTCCTGAATGGCAAGTTGATGTAAGTCCTCCAACTCTCTACGAGGTTGAAAAAGCTATAGAAAATCTAAAGTGAGGGAGAGCAGCAGGCCCTGACAGGTTTACACCTTAGACTTTTAAGGATGGAGGTCCAGGACTAGCGGCGAGATTGACTGAAGTCTTAGGTAGAATCTGGGAACTAAGCATAATTCTATCTGACTGATCCCAATCACTGATTGTGCGAGTTTATAAGAAAGGACAAAAGTCCTCTTGTGACAATCACAGAGGAATCAATTTGAATAATATAGTGTTTAAAATATTAGATTCAATAATACTAGGACGCCTGACCAAAACTCGTGAAGAGCAGACTAGAGAAAACCAGGCTGGTTTTCGACCTGGACGTGGTTGTATAGACCAGATATTCACTCTACGTCAGGTCCTGGAACACAGACATACATTTAGACGTCCCACAATAATAGTACTTCTCGACCTTAAGGTGGCATTTGACTCCATTGATCGTGAGGTTCTATGGCAGTGTTTGTCAGTGATAGGAGTACCGAAGAAGTACATTAACCTCATAAAGGCTCTCTACTCAAACACAACTGGTTGAGTCAGAGCCTATGGCGAACTGTCATCACAATTGGTTACCTCAATGGTGTTCGTCAGGGCTGCCCACTCTCCCCATTCTTGTTTAACTTTGTCATTGACATGTTTTTAGAGATAACACTTTTATCATCTCAATCTCCTGGAGTTAAACTTCTACCGGGAGATCCACTTGTTGACTTAGAATACGCCGACGACATCGTTTTATTCGGTGAAGACGCTGACAAAATGCAGAGTCTTCTGATCACTATAAGCAACAATGCAGGCATGTTCGGGATGCGATTCTCTCCCTCGAAGTGCAAAATGTCACTTCAGGATTGGGTTGCATCGACACCTGAACTAATGATAGGGAGTGAAGTAGTTGAGCGTGTTGACAGCTTCACTTATCTTGGGAGACTCATCAGCCCTTATGGTCTGGTGTGTGACGAAATCTCAGCACGGATACAGAAGGCTCGTCTAGCTTTTGCCAACTTGCGTCATTTATGGTGTAGGCGAGATATCCGTCTAGCAACCAAAGGACGGGTTTACTGTGCAGCAGTTCGCTCCGTCCTACTTTATGGCAGTGAAACATGGCCGATATGAGTAGAGGATACTCGTAGGCTACTAGTGTTCGATCATAGGTGTCTTCGACGCATTGGTCGTATATCCTGGGACCACCGGGTAAGTAATGCAGTTGTTAGGAAACGAGTACTAGGTAGGGATGTCAAATCGATTGATGAAGTAATGAAACTTCATCAGTTGAGATGGCTGGGACACGTGTTACGTATGAAGTGGAAAAAAGCTAAGGGTGGCCAAACTAAAAAAAATAACACTATTTCATGGGTTTACTAACAATCAGAGTAAATCGTGTTAACGAGTGTAGACTATCTGGCTGGGGTCCGCGTAATTATTGTACACAATATTTGGATGCTTCTGGTGATATAAGGCAGAATTGTTCGCAACGGCGCAAGTGCATTCTCTCCTCATAATTCTTCATTTCGTTGATTTGTAATTTCTAGAGTTATATTTTTGATACCTAATCCTTCCTATTATCACTCATACTGTTACTATCTCTACTACTCTAGGATTCGACCTAACAATTTCATTTCGTTGTTCAAATGGAGTATGGAAAGTTGTACTGATGTACATACGTACCAGGTACTACGCGACTGACTGACTACTTGTAAATATTCAATAACCAGTTTCATCCGTAACATTTCTTGAACATATGGAATAACTTCCGTTAACCGTTGCGTAATATTCTAAAGTATTCACATGAACTAATAACATTTACTTTACCTATGGCTGTAATTACTTTCAACCCTTGTAACAGTTATTTACAGTTTTGTACATTCCTACAACCTTCGTTTGAACTCAACAGCTACCATAATTGTGTGCTCTTGGTTCCCATTCTGGTAGTTAGATGCTGCGATAGAATTATTAGCTGGTTTATGGAATGATTTCAACAAATAGTTCGGTTAATACTAAACCCCACAATATATATATATATATATATATATATATATATATATATATATATATATATATATATAAACGGGAGTAAAAATGGAAGAACGGATAAACTATGACTGAGATTATCTGAAGTCAGATACTAAATATTAAGTTGTGGTCCGGTTGCTTAATTCCAATGTCCCCGTCAAAAAACCTAGACACTAAGTTTTTGCTTTGTAAAGACCAGTACTACGAAACAGCTCTTAAAAATCTACGTAACCATTATGACCACTCAGAGATCAAAGAAAACAAATATTTCACCTCATAACAAATGCATTATGTGTGAGGGATATTTATTTTAATTTGTAAGCAATATCTTTTGCCAGTGTAATATTATTCACAAAAGTATTTTGATAAATACCTGATGCGTGTGCACACTTATCTCAGTTTATATATCAATTAGAATAGAAAACTATAATAAACACAGAAGGAGGATTGAACAAGGCTTCATGAGGTGTAGACAATGCAACTAAACCACTGGGAACAGACATTACTTAGTTTTCAATTAAAATTGTCTCTTGTTAATCTGAAAATCATTTTCCCCGTTTAAAATCTTCAGTTTATGTTCAATAATAATTTGCAGAGATGTTTGTAAAATACTGCACATTTTTAACAGATATTTATTTATTTATTTAAACACATATATATTGGTACAAAAGGGCACCAGGTACATATGCGCCACACAAAATAATGAAAGTAGGAAGAGAAGGGATGAAAAGATAAGGCGGGCTGAAATGTACAACCAGAAGACTCTTTCAGTTAGGAAAGTTAGAACCATTCTTTATGTAGAAAGTAAAAGAAGGTTGCAGCAGGATCGCCACTGGCTTCTATTCTGAGCCATATCTGATAACGTCTCTAGCCACTGTGTTGCACTATCTCTCGGACCCCAACCAGGGAGTCGTGAAGGACCAACAAATGCTAGCCCTTTGCAGCTCTCTTTCATGCCACGACACCATGTCATACACTGACCTCCTCTCCGCTTTTTCCAACCAGTCCCAGAGTCGGCAAATAATGCACGACGTGGAAGTCTCTGGGACGACATTCGTAAACCATGTCCAAGCCACCGAAGTCGGTGTTTCAAGATGGTGACGCCAATTGAATTATCGTCTCTGCGCCCGAACACACGATGCCGAACCTCTGCATTACTAACATGGTGTTGCCACTGGATGTCAGCAATCCTTCGGAGACAACGATGATCGAACACAGAGAGACGTCTAACATCCTCAACTCGGAGAGGCCAGGTTTCACAAGCTTAGAGCAAAACTGCTCTCACCGACGCGTTGTAAATCCGACTTTTTACAGCCAGACTAACATCACGAAGGCGCCAAAGATGGCCCAGATTGGCATAAGCCGCTCTGGCTTTCATTATGCGTGCATCAATCTCATCACTCACGCCACCACCAGCACTTACATAGCTACCTAGATACACGAACTTCTCGACTACTTCGATCTCCTCACCATCCAGGGTGAGTACAGGATTAGAATCCTGCCAGTCTTGTAGAAGTACTTTGCACTTGGAGGGTGCAAAGCACATGCCGTACCTGCGGACACTGATTGCCAACTGATTAAAGGCGGATTGCATGCCTTGGGCATTATCGCACAGTAAGACAATATCATCCGCATACTCAAGGTCGAGAAGTCGTTCTCCAGGCAACATATCCACACCGCCATTACTTACATCCATCAGAGCTGTTTCCAGGATGTCGTCGATGGCAAAGTTGAAGAGGAATGGTGAGATCGGGCAACCCTGCCTAACCCCACTGCTCGAATGGAACAAGGGAGAAAGGTGGTTGTATGCCCTCACTCTGCCTGAGGTGTTCGTATACAGGGCCTTTAAGATGTTAATGAACTTCTCAGGCACACCCTTCTTCAATAGACAATCCCAGAGAACAGTCCTGTCCAACGAATCGAAGGCAGCCCTGATATCAAGAAACACTACGATTGTTGGCCTGCGATAAGTATGACGGTGTTCTAACATTTGGCGGAGGGTGAAGATGTGATCAATGCATCCTCGACCAGAACGAAAACCAGCCTGTTCCTCGCGAGTCAATCATACTCGGGTTTTAAACAACCTACGAAGAATGATAGAAGCCAATAGTTTGGACGCAATCGAAAGTAGACTTATCCCCCGGTAGTTATTGCAGGAACAACGTGAACCCTTTTTAACAGATAGCTTTCACAAAGATGGTTATAAAGAATAACAGCCAAATCACATTTATGTATTAAGAATACCTACAATTCAATGGTGTGAAAAATTAACCTGTTTTGTACTTCCAAACCACTTTGTTCTTTAGTGTGACGTCCTACTTAATAACAATAAGTAGTTTGAGATATGTTCAACCGTTTCTAGAGCCTGGATTTTTTTGGAATGGTATTTCACCACCGCAACGATGATTGCTGTTGTAGGAGTAGGCTGGAATCTTATTTTTTATGATTAATCTTCTACTATTAGTACTGTTACTACTTCCACTACTCTTGTATTTAACTTGATAGTTTCATGTCGCTAGGCTGATGCTCTGTGTCAACCCGAAGCTATGTACACATGTCCCGCGGTCCGTGTTTCCTACGACTGAGTGACCTAGTCATTACTAACTCACTAAGAATCGTCTAGTCTATTAGAAATATTAGTACCTGGGAAATCAACATACTTTACAGACTGGTTCGTTAGCTTCATCATAACCACTAAGTTGCATTCATCTAATTTTATTTATTTGGATACATAAATATTGGTACAAGAGGGCACCAGATGTATATGCGCCACATACAAAATTGTCATTTTACTTAATTGTGTGAGGGCTATGATACTGCCCGGATGCCCAGACCGAAACAGGTGGTTTTCTCAAGGGGCCACACCCGGAGCATTCGACCTAAAGGTCTGATCCACAAAGCAGTGGAGCATTGTGAGGAGATGCAGTCCCAATACATGGTTCATACGCCATTTTTCCCCTCAGGATACTGGAGCCCATGTGCACCATTGGTTTGGAATCAGGGTTTTCAAACTCCCTTAGGTGGACTCACCGTGGCCCCACGGCCTAGTTTAAGCTCCGGACATTCGCTTTTCGTCCTCTCAATTTCGTAAACAACACCTCCGCCAAGAGAAGGCAGTGAGTAGGACTTCCCTGGCAGAGGCTGTATACGCGCGGCCGTGTGAGAGCATTTTGAGAAAAAGGGTAGGCCCTCCCTACTCTCGGTCGTACCAGGGCATTCATTCTAGTTTAATTAAAATAAACACAATGACAACATGACAAGAATGCGTTTATTTCATGATGACTAAATTAACAAACTTAGTGTCAACTGCTTCTAAATTGGGAAACGATCATTGCATAGTTTGAAACTAATTCTATTTCATAAATATGATAAAAGTTTAAATTAAAATATAACGATGACTTAATAATTATAAAGTCCTAGATATGAGTTTGTTGGCAGCACAACCATCAATAAAACTGCTTTTAAGCAAATCGAATTGAATTTAACATACAATTGTTTTATAGCTTGAACTAGTGACGAACCTGTGATTTGCTGATCGATAGACTTCAATAAGTACTTAACACCTAAGAATCAACTGTGTGATGACCGTTGTGTGAAGTTATCCATGCGAATTGTTGAAGAAAAAACTGAAGTTTTAAATGAATTTTCTGAGATTCTTAGGTTTCCCTTTTATTTTTGCTACTCCTTACATGTTATAATTTGTCATTCCCATGCCTCAGTATCCGAAATCAACAACACATAAAACTGAGTCACGTAACTTACTTGTTCAGCTTCTTCTTCCTCGAGACTCCACTCTAATTCCTGTAATCTCGTTGGTTTAGTATTTGCACAAGTTTCAACTTTTGGATTACTGTATGGCTTTATTGGGCTATACTTATCTGAAATATATTTTGAAAAACACAAATATATGTTTGAATTCGGATGGCGGTAATAGGTAACAGTAGGCAGCTAATAGGACTCGTAAAAGAAACCGGTATTAGGAACCCAACTATTAGCGAAACTATCTCGGAAATAGATGGACATATTATTCATTCTCAATCCAGGAGATTGGATCGATGGGCAGAACACTTTAGGGATCAGTTCAACTGCCCTTCAGCCACACTTCAGTTACCCACGATCCCCAGTTGTCCTGAATGGCAAGTTGATGTAAGTCCTCCAACTCTCTACGAGGTTGAAAAAGCTATAGAAAATCTAAAGTGAGGGAGAGCAGCAGGCCCTGACAGGTTTACACCTTAGACTTTTAAGGATGGAGGTCCAGGACTAGCGGCGAGATTGACTGAGGTCTTAGGTAGAATCTGGGAACTAAGCATAATTCTATCTGACTGATCCCAATCACTGATTGTGCGAGTTTATAAGAAAGGACAAAAGTCCTCTTGTGACAATCACAGAGGAATCAATTTGAATAATATAGTGTTTAAAATATTAGATTCAATAATACTAGGACGCCTGACCAAAACTCGTGAAGAGCAGACTAGAGAAAACCAGGCTGGTTTTCGACCTGGACGTGGTTGTATAGACCAGATATTCACTCTACGTCAGGTCCTGGAACACAGACATACATTTAGACGTCCCACAATAATAGTACTTCTCGACCTTAAGGTGGCATTTGACTCCATTGATCGTGAGGTTCTATGGCAGTGTTTGTCAGTGATAGGAGTACCGAAGAAGTACATTAACCTCATAAAGGCTCTCTACTCAAACACAACTGGTTGAGTCAGAGCCTATGGCGAACTGTCATCACAATTGGTTACCTCAATGGTGTTCGTCAGGGCTGCCCACTCTCCCCATTCTTATTTAACTTTGTCGTTGACATGTTTTTAGAGATAACACTTTTATCATCTAAATCTCCAAGAGCTGAACTTTTACCGGGAGACACAGGTCTTCAATATAAATAAGACTGTTTCTACTAAATTTTTGTTGGTCTATTTGAGTAATTGACTATTAACCTACGGTTAAGGAACTTTGATCTTAGAGTTTAAGCAATTGGGGTAAATAGGAGCAGTAAACTATTCGTTCAATCACTTGGTCTTCAACTACTAGATTGTATGTTCGAACTCGGTTTAACCTACTGTAACTCAAATGGTATTAGCAAATCCCATAAGTAACATATGTGGTATGAAACATTCAATTGTACTTGACTACAAAGCAACCAGCCTGGTTTTACATTGTAGATGCCTGACTGATAAAAAACATAATAATGCAGCAACAGCTGAACTATTTGTTAATCTTGAGTTTTATCCAGATTTCCTATGTTTAACTTGGTTAAAATTTCACATCATATGGTGTAATAGTGTGGTGTGAGCTACTGATATCGACATAAGTAGTATATATGGTGAGTAAGGAATAGAATATCTGACAGCAGAAGATTGAGAAGATCAAGAAGAGAAGAACAGAATTAAAAAGCGATTTGTGTGGAAATCCAGGAACAATGAAGCCTGAGGCAATTGAAGAACATTTTGCAAATAGTGTATCATAGCATGGTTTTTGTATTTTACCAAGTAACGTTGTAATTTTTGCTAAATATATAGTTGGTTGTGTTCTCATTCACAACAATAGAAATCATATAAAATCGACAAACATAAAATTAACAAACATGAGATACGTGGTGATTATGTTCCTAAACCAATTCAATACACTGACCTTCGTTTCCTTCTTTATCACTGTCCTCATTTTGTGTAGAATTAATGCTTCGAGTATAGCAAAATGACAAAATATCAGTGACAATACGTTCTTCTGGAGCTTTACGCATTCTAAGATGTCGAATGGCTTTGTTCAAAATAGATGATGAGATGTGATTTATAGCATCGGAAATACCCCGATCTACATATCGTCTGAGTCCACGTTCAAGTTCACCTGTAGTGAATAAGCTCAACCCACAGGTTAACTCTTCTGATGGTTTTTGTCCTTTACTCTCAACCATTTGTAGTAGATAATGACGAACAAGCTCTTCAACTTCAGCAGAATTTAATCCAACTTTTTTACTTTCAACTTCCATTTCATCTGGATCACTACAAATCGTACTGTTCTGTAAACCAGATTTTAAGGCGCGATTTGCTTGCGCAGCAGCCAATTTTTCACGATTTCGATTAAAAACAATTAAATCCTTTACAATTAACAGAAAACGGGAAGTAGAGTTTACTCAAACATCATTCTCATGAATATTTAAACTACTATTGATTAGGCAAATATTTTTCTCAAAAACTGTTGTATCAGAAGCGTTTCTAGCAATCTAGATCAAGCAGACGCTCTTAAATTTAGATGAGTGTATGTATAACGTGACTGCCCTAGACATAATCTGTCTTCAGACAGATGCAGTAAATTCGTATCATATTGCTGCTTTTTTTATTTATACTTTTTTGGTATTTTGTTGATATTTAAAAGAACTTCGGTCGGTCAGTTACAACGTAGGACCAGGCACATATAAGCATCGGTTCAAGTTGTCACACCTCATAAGCACAACAAGATTAACACAGAATTCATAGAAGTAAAAACTTCAATGATAGTAATCAAACAGAAAGACATTTAGGTGGGTGTTTTAGTATTCCGGCTCAACAAACCGATAATGGTGATCGTCTGTTGCAACTATGCTCAGACAATCGTTTAATTTTAGCAAGCACTAATTTTAAACATAAGGAGAGACATCGTCTAACATGGCGACCACCTGCACCAAACCAACGATGGACTCAAATAGACCATATTGTCATCAGTCATCGTTGGAGAGGCTCAATAGAAGATTGTCGCTCGTATTGGAATACTTGTTTAGACTCTGATCACGCTTTAATACGAGCGCAAATTTGTCTGCGCCTCAATGGACGCAAGAAAAGTACACTAAGAAGACCCTTTAGGATTGAACTGGATCTACCAACATGGCTCAGACTAGAAGTTAGTGACTTCAAACACTGATGTCACGTGATGTTTGGCCGCCCCTAATTCTCTTCCAACCATCTCCAACACTATTCAGCATTGCGCGTCGTGGTAATCGGTGTTCAGGCATACGTAACACGTGGCCCAACCATCTCAGTTGATGAATATTCACAACCTCATCAACTGATTTACCATCATTCCCTAATACCCTGTGTCTAACCTCACTGTTACCTACCCGGTGATCCCAGCAGACGCAAGTAATATTTCTAAGACATCTGTGGTCAAATACTAGTAACTTACAAATATCTTCTACTCTAAATGGCCAAATTTCGCAGCTGCAAAGTAGAACGGAGCGAACTGCTGTGCAGTATACTCCTTCCTTAATTGATAAATGGATATCTCGCCTTCACCATAGGTGAAGTAAGTTGGTAAAAGCCAAACGAGCTTTTTCAATCCGTGCTGAGATTTCGTCAGACACTAACTCATTAGGGCTGATCAGACTTCCAAGATAAGTGAAGTTGTCGACGCGTTCGACTACTTCACTCCCTATCCATGGTTCAGTTGTTAACTCAGGACAGTCCTGGCGCAACAACTTACATTTAGAGGGGGAGAAACGAATCTCAAACATCCTGGCATGTACAATCATTTTCAGTTATGTTTGTGTGATATCCTACAGAATAAAATATTTTCACTTGATAATATAGAGTAAGACGCATTAAGCAAAAATATGTCACAGTACTAAATCAACTGTCAAAAGGCTAAGTCAAATATTTGTAGAATTAAACTAACTTGTGGATTGGCCTTCACAGAAAAAAATGCCATCAACTTTAAAGCTTAGTGTGAAACTATCAAATACCGAGTTCTTACTTTAGGGTTGGCCACACGACCAACAAATTTTTGACCAAATCTAAGTCCACTGAACGATTCGAATCCACCGCTTAAGTCTACGCGTAATCGTATAAGTGGTTCAACTGGGGGAAGTAGTCGTTGGGTTGATGTGATTTTGATATTTTCGTTGCATTCATATTCTGCAGCACTGGTTGATTTACTTGAATCAACGTTCAGTTCACTTGCTAAAGCTTCAGATGAAAAAGTTACAGCCTTGCTTATTTCTGATTCAATAAGTTTGTCACATATTGACTCGATTCGCCTGACAACATCAAATGCATTTGGATCCAGCTTTGGCACATAATCCTGTAGAATTAGATCCTTAAATAAAAATGGTCTGACAGTACGTAAAGGTAGACGTGTGACCTAGAAGTAAAAGAGGTGCACGGCTATAGAAAAATAACAATACTATGATATACATTTCAACTGTGGCGCACTAATACGGTGATTTATTATTTTTTTATTTAGCTATATGCAAATGCCTAATTTACTTAGCATAGATCTATCGTAAATTTTCATCCACTGATTAATAGGGTGAAAAGTAATAAAACGTAACAATTCTTGATTTCCAGAAATTTTTAGATCAAAAAACTCATACTTTTATGGTGGCGATTTGTTACGATAGAATAAACGGAAAACCATATAAGCCAAATAAAATTCAACTTCGCCTGCTACCATATTGCATAGTATCAGAAAAACACTTCAGTTTTTGAATGAAGGATATGAAAATATTGGGATTTTTTTTAGAGGAAGTGATGAGTTTTATTACCCGCATCAAAATCTTGCAAAATAACAAAGGATGGGATGAGAGGAAAAAACTTGATAGTAAGCAATCCCGATCTATCTATTCAGTAATAAAATAGAAAACTACTATATCAACTTTCAACGTATACCGATTTCCCTATGTGATGAGAATAATTTATTGATCTGAGCACATTCAAACTTGCATTTGAAATATTTGCGTTGATTCTGGTAGAAAGAGTTAAGCAATTCATATTGACTTGATAACAAAAAAAATGCCAAGACATTTAACAGCCATTATTTTGGGATTCATTTATACCTTCCTATTAGAACAAGGATATTCCTAACTGCACATTATAATTCGGACAACTTTTTTACTTGTCCTCACTGTTAGTGTGGAATGATCAGATGAAGCTGACCAAAAAACGAAGTTATATTGAGGTTGATTAGCAGATTGATGAACAGCTGGCTCATAATAAACTACGATTGATTGTACAGATAATTGTAATCCTTAAAAACTGCTTCCAATGCTAATACAATGTAAAAAGTTTTAAAATGCGTTGTCTTAGAAATAAAGAAAATTTCAACCAAAACATCAACCACTTTATCCCAAATAATAAGAATTATCAAGTCGGACGAGCGTAAATACACAAACGATTGAGAAGAGAGATGTCAAAATTTAGAACTAGCACGTAACATAACTCATGCCTAGAACGGGTCATTTGGCCTAATTCAAGAAATACATAATTCAGTCATTTTTGTTGAATTAGTACACACTACATAACGGACAGTTCAAAAAAAATAAAGATATCCAACTTATGTGTGAAAATCAGAACCAACCTTAAACTCTTTTTCTCTAATTTCCAATAATGCAACAGCTTTATCTTGTGCCTCACCTTCAGATAGAGCAGTGGCTACAGAACTCCCTGGCTGAACAACATAAAAGTTTTTAGAAGAGTTCCATTCTGGTTTTATACGACATTCATGTTCATGGCCCCAAATAATGAGGTCAAGGAAATCTGGGAGGAAGTTTTCAGGCAAATAACTTGTAGGGCCGTGATGAACACGATTTTGGTGAACTGTGCAAATTGAGAACCAGTCATCTACACACTCAGTAGGACGGTAAAAAGTGACACTATTATTTAAAAACAAACGATGAAGCCTCTCTTCTCGAACAGATCCAAGGCCATATAAGGCCACACGAGTATTTCCCTTGCGTAGCAGAACGGGGGTCAAATCGATCCGTTCTACTGAAGAGAACTTCCCAAACAGATTTATCAAACCAGCGGTATGCAGTAAATCAGCTGCACATAAGCCACCAGGACCTGAAGGATCATCGTGATTTCCATGAATGGTAAACACGGGAATTCCAACATTTAGATTACCATCTAAATAATTTGCAGTATGAAATGCTGTATTAGCAAATATAGTCTTGGCTTCACTAAGAAGTTCAAATTGAACTGGTTTACTTCCCAAACAATATATACGAAGTAAACGCATTACTTCATGTAAAGACCTCATTGAAGGTCGACTTTCATGAAAAATGTCACCTGCAAATAAGATAAAATCCACATTGTGTGAAACTGCCAGACGTAGAATCTCCTCAAATGTTCGAAAAGAGTCTTGACCCCTTAAACCATCTTTTTCGGCATATCCTACATGATTATCTGTAGACACTAGCACACGGAGTACATTTTCATTACCATCAACATTTGGCATTTATATAACCAAGTTAAAATCTGAAAGACAAATTATGATATATATAAATTAAATCAAATGGCCATAAAATAAATCATACACATTTACTACTAAGTGGTCAGAGCATTCATTAATATGGTTTTTTAATGTGATGTAATGATGTTTAGTGTCGGAAACATGAAAACGTACATTCCACAGAACAACGTATAATATTAGGTTGTATAACTTCCCAATAGCAAGAAGAATCAACGGAAGGAAGAGAACTGTGAGAACAACCTAGAACGAGGACACGAAATTGCCAGGAAACTAAAAGCAATAGACATAAAAATAGATTCAATAGAGAATGAAAAGTGATCTAGTTCAGTTATTTAGTAGAATCCAATAACCATTGTTTTGTATCACTACGGAGACTAGCATAGGGGCCTATGGTTCTTTACATGATAGTGGATAACATGGTCAAATTTATTCTACAATAAATATAAGTGTAAAAACCAGCAGGTTTTATTCCATGAAGAAGTGACTTGTATGAGTACGTGAGGTCAGGAGCTCGAATTTGTGCCTTATCTGAATATTGCGAGCCCATATTGTAATAACAAACGATCAGCAACTGTTCTTTTTCCGTACATATAATTTATAAGTGCTATTGGTTACGAATTTGATTTCAGGTGGGTTGATTATCAAAGTGGATGGGATGATGAATAACTGATATGAAATAATACAATTTGGGCAACTGATAACCATTCATGAAACTAAATCTACTATTATTTTACATCCATTTGTAGTCCCCAAATAAGCAACCATAAAGACTGAATAAAATTTTTACAGCGCCTTAAAAACGAGTTATAAATAAATCGCTACCTCTTTTACAAGTTGCATTAACACTAACTTGGCAATATTTAGACTTTTGACTCACATGCAAATCTTATGAACCTAATTTGTGCATTCTTAGTACCATTCGAACACGAGTAGTTCATATAGTCGCAAGTAATACTATTTTCCCCCAAATGCCCTGATACGGGCGAGAGTGGGGAGGGCCCCCTCAAAATGCTCTCACATGGCCACGAGTATGCAGTCTCTGCCAGGGAAATCTACTCACTACCTTCTCGCGGCGAGCTCGTTGCTTACGAAATTGAGAGGACGAAAAGCGAATGTCCGGAGCTTTAACTAGGCCGTGGGGACACAGTGAGTCCACCTAAGCGAGTTGGAAAACCCTGATTCCAAACCAATGGTGCACATGGGCTCCAGTATCCTGAGGGAACTAATGGCGTATGAACCAAGTATTGGTCACCGGCTACCATGGGACTGCATCTCAAAACGATGCTTTGCTGCCTTGTGAGTCAGACCTCCACGTTAAAGGCTAGGAGTGTGGCCACCTAAGAAAACCACCTGTTTCGGTCTGGGCACCCGGGCGGCATCATAGCTCTCACACAATTAAGTTGTCGACGCGTTCGACTACTTCACTCCCTATCCCTGGTTCAGGTCAGTCCTGGAGCAACAACTTACATTTAGAGGGGGGAGATTCATCCCAAACATCCTGACACTGTTGCTCAGTGCTACAAAAAGACTCTGCATTTTATCAGCGTTTTCACAAAACAGGACTATGTCGTCTGCGTATTCTAAGTCGGCAAGTGGATCTCCTGGTAGGAGACCGATTCCTGAAAATTCGGTCGATGAGAGCGTTATTCCCAGCACTAGGCCTATGATGAAGTTAAATAAAAATGGAGATAGTGGACAGCCTTGACGGACACCACTTGAAGTTGTAAAATCAGATGACAGTTCGCCATGAGCTCTCGCATGACTGGTAGTGTTCGAGTAAAGAGCCTTCACAAGGTTTATGTACTTCTCAGGTACACCTTTCAATCACAGACACTGCCACAGAACCTCTCGGTCTACAGAGTCAAATGCTGCTTTCAAGTCAAGAAAAACTATCATTGTCGGACGCCGATAAGCATGTCTGTGCTCTAAAACCAGACGAATAGTGAATACTAACCAAACGACGAAAGGGAAACAACGTGTGCCCCTATCCTTTAGAGTTCTTACAGGGCCGTTTAGCCGAACAGCACATAGGCGAATGTTAATGGAGATTCCTTCCAATAGTGCTTGTTCTGCTCTCGTACTAAGTGCTATGCCTACACCTGCAAGTCCATGAGAACTAGCCATCGAGTCGTCAGATACACAGAGGGTGTATCTCGTCGGCTCTCCGTTTTTACGAGGTGAGGATAGGCGATTGACCACACTAGAATCCTGTATGCGTATTCTGGAGACACAGCATACATCAATCGTACGAGATTCCAGGGTCTTAGCCAAGGAGGCCTGTTGGCCGACTTGACATAGGGTGCGTACATTGAAGGCTCCAATTTGTAGTTTGAATCGAGGTTTCAGTACACCTCGGACAATGTTTTGAGCACTCGAATCTTTGGCCATGGTGACACTTGAGGAGAAGCCGAAAGAGGAAGTTGAGTTTTGAAAGTCTAGGTAGGAGTAATAGGAATTGAAGGAGATTGATCATGAATACAGTGATCTTGAGTGCTGTTAGAGATATGAGGGTCGTTATCACTTCCCGGTCTCCCACACCGTGGAAGGGTACTTCTAGAGATACCTGAAAAGGGAATCGGATTAGAAGTGGTCTCAGTGACCTGAGAGCGTGACCGCAGTGCCAAAGGGACAACTACTTGAGGTCGGTCACACACGACCTTTTTGCGAGTAATTTTTGTGTTAGCCCCGTACTTGTTATGACCTTACTACCGGAGACAGATATCCGCGAGATAAGGCAAGGTGTGCATTTTTAGGGTCGACCTTTACTAACCTCATCCCTCGGTGTGGGAAGGCAGCATCGCTGTTATGCTGGTTGTCTAAGGGAAACACCTTAGTGTCGTCACACCTCTGTACGGTCAGCAGTACAACGTCTCCCTTGAACCTTAGGTTTGCTGCTTTTAATCTTACCGCTCTTCAACCGACCTGCCTGGCATGGTAGGACCTTGAGGAACGATTGTTCCAGGCAGTATAGACCAATTCGTTCATCACGATAGGCAAGCCCGACCACCACTTCAGTGTAACGGCGACTGTCTGCATACAGCTATACAATTCAAACAACAATCAATGACCTTATAAACTGATGTCACGTTTCGGTATGACCGCTTCTAGCTTTCTTTCAAATTACTTTTACACAAGTAAGCATCGCCCGAGAAAGTCCAGGTTTCTATCCTTTACGGAGCTATAGGTATGCATTGATGAAATATTTATGCACGATGAACCTGGGTTTCAATAGTATCCTAACTGATGTAAATCCCATGTAGAGAACCCTCAATAAACAAGACTAATCTCGATGATCCCTCACAATCAGAACATTTATGTTTCACCGTCTACATATCTCCCACTTTTTCAGCATAATATTCCTGTGATCTCTTTTATTTATTATTACTGCGACCATATGGCATCCTCGTCTGGTTTTTCTGGCGTTGGTGTTGCACTAATCGATTGGATCTCCGTTAACAGTCGGTTAAGTGTTGTTAGATTAGAAAGGTCCATCTAAGTGAGAAGAAATAGGTGCAAGAAACTATGTCTTTTCGTCATCTGGCTAACACTACCGGCACAGTCATCGCCAATGTCCTACTTGGCGTCCTCCTCCCTCTGCATTTCAAGCCTGAACTCAGATAGATCACATAGCGATTAGCTACCGCTGGCGTGGTTGTGTACAAGACTGTCGCTCCTTTTAGAGTACCTATCTGGACTCTGATCATGCCCTTTTTTGCGCTAATCTTACTTTTTAGTGACCAATTAATTTATCGTCATAAACGGATTGATGTCAGTAAGTTGGTTGCAACTTCTGTTACAACTAAGTATCAAACCGAGCTAGGTTCAAGGCTAGCTAACATCTCACCGAAAAGTACAGATGAGCATTTGTTGCAAGTGTATGACGCCATGAAAATGGCGAGTAAAGCCGCTTGCGGCTTCGCAAAACGTCCCGCTTATAAGTACTGGGTTTCTTCAGGGTTTTTACAACTCATCGAAGGCCGTCGGTCTACTCCGGGTGACCGTGAGTTTGACCACAAACGAAGACTGTTACGTGAAGAAATTGGATAAAGCCTGTGTAAGGACGGAGAAGCCTGGTGTTTGAAGCGTGCTAATGACCTGGAAGCAGCAGCTGCATCTGGTAACTGCTGGAAGCTCTTTCAACTCATCCGAGACACTGGTAGCAAGAAGTCTGGTGTGAGTGAAACAATCTATTAGGATGACAGGATGCTAATCACTAACATCCATCTACGTCTTGGACGATAGGCAAAGTTCTTCGGACAGTTCAAATGGCCTGTTGCTCCAACAACATCGATCAGAATGCTCTACCCTCCATGGCCTGTGACGACTGATCCACCAAACGAAGTGAAAGTCCGCAAGGAACTCCAATTCTTAAGGCGCTACAAATCACCAGACCCACATGACTAACTTCCGGCTCTTTATAAAGATTGTGGTGACTTTCTGGTTAAGGAACTGTAGTCTTTTTGCAAAGATCTGGGAGCTAGAGAGTGTTCCAACATTATGGAATGGGTCGATAGTTGTTCCCATCTTTAAAAAGGGTTCACGTCGTTTCCATAACAACTATCGGGGAATAAGTCTACTTCCGATTGTGTTCAAACGGTTGGCTTCTGACATATTTCGTAGATTGCTCAAAACCAAAAAAAGATTGACTGGCGAGGAGCAGACTGGTTTTCGTTCTAGTCGACGTTGTATTGATCATATCTTCACCCTCCGCCAAGTGTTAGAACTCCGTCATACTTATCACAGGTCAACAATCGTAGTGTTTCTTCACATCAGGGCCATCTTCGACTCGTTGGAGAGGACTGTTCTCTGGTATTGTCTATTGAAGGATGTGCATGAGAAGTTTATTAACATTTCAAAAGCCTTATATACTGTTATGTCCCAACAACAATAATGAATGGTAACTTTGGGACCCATTTATGGACCAATTTATGCATATATTTTTGTCGTAAGTTCGCTAAATAACTAAAAAATTCATGCTCATGTTTCCCCTATTATGAGCTTTATTTTGATCTATAGACTATTATTATACGGTTTAGCCTTCTTGAGTTATCCCTAGCCTATTAATTACTGCCTCCCACATTCAGCCACATTTGGCTAAGTCTTGTACATGTTATCTTCTATTTTATCGTACGATGTGGTCAGTTTGATTGGAACACAAACTCAGTATGTTTGAAATATAATGATTCATGCCGCAGGAGCTTTTCTGGATTTAACGGGCTGGGCTAGGCAGAAACAGGATCGACAAGTACAAGTATATTATAACAAATAAAAGCTCTCACAGGTTTTTGTTCGTTGAATTTCTTCACAGCTTAGGTAGAGAAGTCAGAAAGTCATTAGTATGACTACATAAACTCAGTATTATAACTTAACAACAAACCTGGTGGGGTGCACAGAATTCTTAGTGTACGATGCAGAGAAGATTAAATTAAACAATGAGTGGAAATACTATAAGCGCCGATTGAAAATTTAGTGTTATTAGCGACCGAAAACCCAACCAATCCACACAAAAAAGACTGAATTCTAAGAGAATGTCTCACTCGTGAGAATACCAAAATAACAGTTCGTAACGCGAACTGTGAATCGCGCTTACGCTTCATTTCAATAATCGCGTTTGCAAAGTAGTTTATTTAAACGAACAGAAGTTTTGTGATTTGTCGATTATGTAGAAGTTTCATCGTTCTGATACTCTCCTTTCTTCTAGAATGTCCTGAATTCCTGACACATAATATTGAAAAAGGACTAAGGAGTGTTTAGTAATTTCAAGTAAAATTTCACCACGTCAGTACATCTTCCCTCTTTTATTGCAAAATAAAATCTATTGATCGGAGTGTGGTGAATTTATACCACATGTTCTAAGCATTCATTTTGATGACCAGTCATATACTTGCTCCTATGGCGGTCGATATAATGAGTCAATCAGAAGTAGCAAAAAGTCAGTCGATGGCAATCAGAAGTGAACTAAAGGACAGACGCATTTCACTGGTTTCGATGGCTCGGTTTCCAAAGGATAGGCTGATAAATTTATGAATGATCATTTGTACATTTAATTCAGTTGTCCAATACACTTTCTCCCTCATTTGTGTTCTCGCTCAAGTTATCAGTTGGGAGGTTAGCGCAAAGCATATAGTGTATCAATATCACGTTTCAGACACCGAACGTCACAACAGGGGTATGTACCTAGCCTCTATTATCAATGTAATTCATGGTGATTGCTATATTTCAATCCAAATTAGCGCGCTTGCTGATGATTGAATTGGCCTTAATATGACTGCTAATCCTACATCTTAATTTTAACGTTATCCTGTATAAGCTAGGTAAAACTCTCCGACGTTCCGAGTCACAAAGTTATAGTGGTTATTACTAAAATTTCGCCCTGTCTGTTATTTAAGCACGGTTGATTGACCTAGAACCCTGTAGAACATCAACGTTGATGATCTATATCGAATGATTGGAGGCCTATTCGAGTTAGACGAGAACGGTGTGACGAACAAGCTAACTTCGAAGTCACACCTCGCGATCAGCACCTTACGTGGATTGCCCCCATTGACGTAACAAGGGACCATGGATGCTACGGAGATTGTACAACACAAAGGACGTTATTACAAGAATATATTAGTTAAGGTACAACCACTGCCACGTGGGACAGTCCATGACGTTTGAATAATTGATGCGCGTCGACTGTCTTTGACCTTGACAAGAATTGATGATCTGTTCGATATTCAGTGACCCAACTGCCGAATGATTTGGCTAGGGTTCAGTGACATTTCACTGACCCTACAACCCAATTAAATTACAAGTAATCGACCCAAATATAGTGTTTAAGCAATAAGTACAACAATCATGTTTTCTCGCCTTTAGGTAATCCCCGTCCTATTGATGGAAGAAACCAGGCCAGCAAAGAATATGTCTTTATTTAGATCGTGGAACAGTCACGTTGGAGCGGGGGATTACCTGCTCAACACACACAAAGCTTTTCATCGATCAATAAAAGATAATAGGAAATATAATGCCTATGCAAAATAAGTAAGTGAAGGAATACTTGAGCCCCATTGTTTTGACATATACTTAGCTGTTTGAGGTGAACTCCTAACTAATCAGCCTAAGCCCTTACATAAGCTTCCTCCAGTAATCGACTTCGGTAGGAACGTCAGTTCGATCAGCTTATCTTTCAAGATCACGTACGTCCTGTTTTTGCAGCCACAGGGAGAATTGCCATTTCCTTCAGTGTTTGACTTTCGATCAATTGCAACCAACTTCGTTGGCATTCGATGATAGTTCATAGTATTCTCTTAATTTACTAGCTTGTTATCTTATCTTGTGGGACTTAATTTCCCTCAAAGCAATCGCTGATGGCTTGCTACGTGCCATCTAAATAGTGATCAGAGCTTGTATGAGAAAAAAGGGTAAGGAAAAAAACAAAGAATATCTGAGGAAGTGCCGCAAGCGGACCGCTCGACTCCATGTTGGTGAGGTACGATTTTTCTTGCTCTGTCCGGCTGCCAGATATTTGCTCACCTGCCTCTTAAGTCGCCCTCAAGTAAAAATTAAAGAAGAATCCACTTCAAAAGGAATAATGAAAACCAGTCAAACCTGAATAATTGCTCCACTGTCTGCGTAAAATAAAAATGTACAAAAAGGACGTACACAAATATAGTTAACAATTCTTTAGTCCCACGTAAGTGATACATCATCCAACTTAGATCTTACCATAAATGGTGAAGTGTTACCTAGGTTTCATACAGTAGTAAACTTAGGACCTGGGTACTCCTATGACTTTTCGTTTACAGAACAGATAGTGAAACAGACTTCCAAGTTTTAACGTCTTCAGGTTACATAACTCGAAACATTTTAAAAATGAATCACGTATTTTTATGTCCAAAGATTGTGTTCGACCACTCCTAGAATACTGCACGTTTGTTTTTAGTAGTGCGCGCATAAAGGTTAAACTAAGGCTGGAATCAGAACAGGGACTATTTACACTCCATATTCTTGGAACTAAATGTGCCTTGACTTATAATTCTAGATGTACTAAACTTGGGCTCGACCCTTTATGGAAGAGGAGACTCACTCTAAATCTCATCTTCTTCAAAATGCCTAATAAACTATTCGTTACATCCAACAAGACAGTTCAATATGCAAAAACTTCTCATTACGACATATGTAACTGTTTGTCACTAGCGAAACAAACGCATTCTAAATCATCTTTCTATATGAATTGTTTTGCCTGTAAATTTTCTAGACTCTGGAATAGTCTACCATAATCTATTCGTACGACAAACTCACTCCAATTCTTTGTTCGCTACATTGACGCATACTGTTCCTCAGAAAATGCATGAAATGTTCTAGCACCTGTAAGTGTATCTTACTCCACAAGTGAGATTATAGGAACTTTAAATGTTTATTCATTCTTATTAATGAATTCCCTAAGCAAAACCATTTACCTGCTGTCACTTTACGTTAACACTGTCTCTAACAACCTTAACTTATTTGAATAATATCTAACATGAACAGTGGTAGACCTGACCGACATATTTCGGTAACCATTGTTTTGTAATTCCGTGTTCTGTCTTAATTTTACTTTCTATAGTTGTAGATAAATATCATTAATTCGTTCTGGCGAAGAAAATGACTTTAAATACACCGTTTATAAATCAACAGGCTACCCACTTAAGAAAAAATTAAGAGTTCCCTGTTGATGCCTTGGATTGCTGTAATGCATGTCATACATGTACTACTTAAACAATTACTAAACTGGCCAACCTAAAACAATCCTATATCCCATGTTTGTTGTCTATATCTAATGTTACTATTTATATCAAATTGAACATACCTGTAAACTGGCGTGAATTCTGTAATTATTATTTTCGAAATATATATATATATAATTATTATTACTAAGTGTTTGACTTCCAGAATGAATCGCTAATCTGGAAAAAATAGACACGATCTAGAAATCTTGTGTACACAAAAGTATGAAAACAAAAAAATTACTCCTTTAAAATGTAAATGCATGAATTTGTCAGAAGTCGGACTCCTCATTAAGTTCGATTAAGTATATGACCTTGAGCCAACGATGGCCGTTTTTTATAGCCGGCTTCTTAGCCGTGGTTGCATAAGAGAACTCTTTAACTCAGAAAAACAGAACACACGGTTAAGGAGAAAAAGAAAATTACAAAGAGCATGAGGACCGAATGTTTTTTATGTCGGCGACTATTCGATGGCTTGATGTAGGTATTGATATGCTAAACTAAATCGATTCCGCGGTAACGAACAAAAGCCAATGACACAATGACATGATAAGCTATTCTAATCTGTTGTCCCAGGCCCCGCTAACTAGATGAAGTAGTCCAAGGCAAGTAGAGGAATATATGTATTCCGTAAGCAGCCGAGTACAAGCAATCAAATAAGGGAAAAAGTCAAGCGTATTTATACAGCAACAAATTGTCCTTGAGCATCATTAATAAATAGCACACACAAAGAAACAATGGACCAATAGCGTTTAAGATAGTTTACAAGTGGGAAATATGACGCGAAGGTAAAAAGAGCGCGTTTGGAGCGAAGACAGCTAAATTCAAATTTCCGAGATAAAATTACAAAACTAAGCAATTTACCAAGTAAGTTCTGGGGATTTGACATCCCCAACAGGTATGCACGTTATATTAAAGCTACATCTTCTCAAGTCATCTAGGTAACGAGTTTGTCTACATCTTACAAGTGTGCAAGTTCTATTAGTCATCAGTATTATAAATAATTAATCAGTTTAAAGAAATATTGCAGTCACATCCATTATAAGCCGGTGTCGTCTTTTGGCTAGGTTTGTGATCTAGCCTTTCGGGAGGGTGGAGGTCCGCTTGCGTGTGGAACTGGCGTTTTCATTCACAAAACTCACATGAATACAATCTTCGCTGTTTGCACGGTCGCTCAGACTTGAGCGAAGATAACAATAAAAGGACGAATTAGTATCCCAAAGTGACCTAACCAGTCACGTTGGAACACCGTGTTAGCTGCTTAAGGTATGAACAGTACAAGTGTTTGATGTTCACATCATCAACAATGAAATGGAAAAGCCACATGTGTTAGGTCTGACTATTATGACAAACAAAACAAAATATGTTACTGTTATTTATATAACATATCGTTTTTTACATAACACTAGTTGTAAGTTTCAGAATTTCGTATGGACCACTGACAAAAGTTGGTTCAACGAGAGCGTAGCCGTGAGAGTTATGTCGTAAACTCAGTGTTCTGATTACCTAACGAAGCACTTATAAGATGAGTGTGAAATTAAGTATGTGAAATCAACATAGCTAATATAGGTAATATACTACAAGATATATTCAGTAAATTAAGTGTTCGTACGTTGATGAAGTGAGTGCAAAGCATGAGAGCATATATTTTAGCCAAGAAAAGTATAACTCTTAACCCATCTGTTAGGTCTATCGAACAGGTAGGTTGTCAATTGTATATGCCCTCCCAATCCTCATTCGTTTAGTCTTATCTAAAGATTAGATTTCGAAATCAGTAAGTTCGGAGGAATAGGATGACAGTCCGATGATGTAGGTTATCTTTAGGAGAGCCACCGTACCTCAA